GGTCTAACTACAATACCTTTTTATTTTAATTTATTTCATTTTTTTTTGGTAGAAGCGTGAAAGCAAATCAGTTTGATTATAGAATTGGGAAAAAACCAACAAAGCATGCACCAGCCATGTAGTTTGGTAACCATTGAGTTTGCATTATTACTTTCATCTTGGCCTATAGAAGCATAGTAAACATGAATGCATATACAGCGGTGGGCATCTACATAAAACTGATTTGTTCAAAATTGTTCAGGAAACGAATTTTGCGCAAATTTCCTGTTCATCTCTCCATAAGCACCGCGATCTCTTAAGTGATCTATTGTGCGTAGCTCTCCACACTATATAGGAAGTCTTTTAACCCTGTAATACTGACCATGAGTAAATTTTGCTATTTTCTTTGTAAGCGTGGCACAGTGGTCTGTGAGTGTTAGAAGGTCCAAGTTTCCAAATGTCTCGAAATAGTCAACTAAATGGTTCTGCGAAAGACGATTAACGACGCAGACGATTTAACGATGAGCCGTATGAGCTTTACAACGATATAGACATAGTGCAGCGAATTAAAATTCATCGGCTCCAGCTCTGAAAGTATTCAACGCGGGTCGTGGTGCTGGCAACAGAGGAAGACGAAGGCCTCCTCTGCGTTGGAAAGACTAGGTGAAGAAGGACTTGGCTTCACTTGGTATTTCCAATTGGCGTCAGGTGGCACAGAAGAGAATGACTGGCGTGCTGTTTTGGACTCGGCCAAAATCGCTTAGTCGGTTACACCGGTCGGTGTCGGTGTTGTATGAATTTTATTTTTAAAAGTTAAAACAGGCATTTCACAAACTCAATACTGGTAATTGAATGATCGGGTTTTTATGAATTTATTTTCATCTTTAATGACAAGTTGCTACCGAAAGGGGTTTCATAATTTTTTTGTTGGTTTCAGAGTTGGGAAAATGTATATGATTTCAAGCATTTGCAATGACTTTATAACTAAATACTTACTTTACGTCAACGTTTACCAATTAGCTATCCGGACTACATTGTTCATTAATAGTTTACTGAAACAAGTTCCAGCTGCTAGAACCCGCTGGCATTGTGTTTTTGTTCTTTCATAGGCCTATCCCCATATCGATGCCTCCAAACCATACCATGCTAAGTCACCTTAGACTTAGTCAGACTTAGCATAGTATGGTTTGAAAGCGTCGATATAAGCTATGGCCAGTGTGCCGTTGCCTAGAAATGAAGGAGTACAAAAAAGGGTATAGATTAGAGAACTTCCGCGCCCACTATATTAAGGAACACGTATGGTAAACTTTATCTGAATTTAATGAAATTTTGATTTTTATAAATTTATTTTTTTATGACTGATGGGCGTGTCAGTAGATCGATTTTGACCATCTTTCAGATTTGAGTTTTTCCAGTTGAAACTAAGGTACAAACCCAATTTCACTAAATATCGGATAACATTTACCATTTCCATCCCCTAATGTCGTGCGCGTGGCAATCTCAAAATTTATGCGATTTTTCACATACATAGTTATGTATCTTCATTCCTAAGCAAAAATACGACAGATAACAAATGACAATAAAATCGCTACTTTTGCGGGCAAAATTTTGCGAATGAAGCTCATTCAATAATAATTTCCCTATGCCGCCTTGTCCATTTATTGCAAATTTGATAATGATCTTGTCAGGACATATTTACGTGACTACTTTGATACATTTTAAAATTAAGAATGATTTGCTACCGAATGAGGAACAAGTTGATTTCAAGTACGGATGGCATGCGAAATTCCTTATTGTCATCTATTTAATTTACCTTTTCGCTCATCTGTACGACCCGTTTAAGGCGCCTAAGCTCAAACGAGATTCAACGTCACGTCAATCAGATTCATTTGTTGCAAATCAGCGCAACACAAATGTGCTGGAAGGTGCCTTGGAAGAGGTGAATACTCAATCGGCGATTATTGAGGATGTGTCCGGATGTAAAACGCATTTGCGCGCCATCTATAGAGAAATATTCGGCAGGAATTGGCAGCAAAACAAGAATTTAGCACAATGCTCCTTTAAACTGCATACCTATTTGCAATTACAGGCACCTATTTGGATTGCCTTAACACTTCTACTTTCAGTTGTAGGCGAAGATCGTCCCTTTAATGGTTGGCACATATACTTGTTGTGCTTGAATTTATTATTGCTGCCGACTCTGCAGTTTGGATCTGCTAAGGTCATAACTAATTGTTTTGATATTCTTTGTAATTGGACTTGTAGCTGCTACATCGCTTCTAATTAGCACAGAAACTACAGCGCCTCCCAGATATTATAAGGTAAGAAATTTTAGAAAATACCTCTTGCATGTTACATACTTACATACATATAGTGGCTCGAACAACCGTGTGATTTTTTTAATATTCAAAATGTTTTTCAAACTGAAAGTTTTTATGAATTCATTCACCCTTATGGCTCACAGCATTCTTGAATGGGCCTGAATACTGATAAATGCATAGTACTTATATGTATGATTGCATTGATAGCATACCTTCTTCACCCCCTCTAAAATGGAGGGAAATGTTTTTTTTATTGAAAACCCTACGGAATGCTCTATCTTTCGGAGGAATTATCGACTTCCGGTTTCAACCGGTTTCACCCGGAAGTTGTCTAAACTGACCAGAAGTACATTTTTTTTAAATCAGATATACATGTTTTTACGACAGATTCGGATTCTGGGAATAAAAATACGTAACTTTTGTTTGAAACTCGGAAGTGACTTCTTCAACCACTAAATGACATTCTAACTT